TATCGCTACCAGCTTTTTGGCTCCAGTCCAGATTGAAGATAGTTTTAATCACATTTTGTTCTCTCTACTTTCCTGGAAATCTCTCAGCTCAGCTGTGGATTTTATGCTTGGAGCTTCTCTTGTTTTAATTCTTTTCATGTTATTTAATGTCATTCTCAGATGTTTCAATTTTTATTTTATTTTTTTTAGCCACTTCCATTGCTCAATCTGAGAAATGAAAAGTTTAGAAAAATACAGCCCAGATTTCATCTGATTTGTTCCTCTGGGATGTCTTGTTTATCAGGCTCTTGGTAGGAATATGTAAACTTCACAAAGGGACTCAGAATTCAGGAATGACTAAACGTCTCTTCCCAACTTATTTTCTGCATTCTGCTCTGCTACGAAGTCCAGAATTTCTGGATTCATTTCACTGAATAGAGTGTCTAAATATGGGTCACTGGCTATAACAGAAGACTGACTCACTATGGTAGGTCAGATTCATTCTGGAAAAAAGAGGCTGCACCACTGGGTTATGGAAGGCCATCTAACCCATCCTTCTGCGCACGGTAGGAAATGGAGGAACGGAGGTTGGGGTTGATCAGAAATTAGTGGGAATATCCCATTTTTCACTGTTTTGTTTCATTGTGATCTCTCTCTCTCTCTCCCCCAACCTTTGTGCTATTGGGAAAGAACAAAGAAGAGATCTGAGTTTTAGTGGATCAGAAAGGTCTGATTAGTTTCCATTTTATCATGTGGGGGTTATAAGTTGTAAAGAATCAAAGTCTAAGGATCAAACACCAGGCATACCAACAAAGAAACAAGGATCCATTGCATCAAGCTTGGGTGTGGTGCCACGTTTTTGTGGTTGCTGTTTTAGTTGGGTTTTTTGGTTTGTTCTGTGTTTTGTTTTTAATTTTATTTATTGTGGGGGTATAATGTTGTTTTTTATATTGTGATTGTGAACTGCCCAGAGTTCTGGTTTTGAGACAGGTGGCCATACAATAATTTTGCATTAATGAATGAATGAATGAATGAATGAATGAATGAATGAATGAATATAAATAAATAAGGTTGCGCAAGACCAACAAATAAAGGAATAGTAAATAGGTATTGTTCTAGCAACCTGGAAAGGAAGACTTTTAGGCCTGAGTTCTCAAAACCCTGCCCGTTATGGGGGCCCTTCCAAATATCCTACTGATGAGTAGGATCTTACCAATAGACTTTACTCAGGGTGAGTCCTGCTCCTTCCCTTTTTAAAGGGACACTTCTAAGCTGGCTGACAGCTGAGCCTTCGCCCTCCAGTGCCAGGCCTTGTCCTTGAAATCAAAGGAAGGACTTTTCACATTCAGAAGAAGGGTAGGATTCCTTTGACTATTTTCCCTGGAATGGATTGCTTCGTAGAAAGCTCCAAATCATCCTATAGAAAGGATCCAAGAGGACCCACTGGGTAATAGCGATAACAGCTGGGAGATTTGCCTGGTCATTGTGTTTTTGAATTGGGTCATTGAAAGATAGAAGCCATCCAAAATAGATAGATAGATAGATAGAAAGAAAGAAAGAAAGAAAGAAAGAAAGAAAGAAAGAAAGAAAGAAAGAAAGAAAGAAAGAAAGAAAGAAAGAAAGATTTTTCCCCTCTTGTAAACTTGTTAAATATTGCATGGATTCTCCAAACAAACTAAAGCAGGAAAAAAAAATCGAGATCAGCCCTGAAAAAAGATTCTCTTAGCATGCCAGTGTTTGCATTGAAATGCAGTAGGATGTAGCATTGAGACCTTTTCATGTGGAAAGATTGCTAAGTAAATTCCCTAAATGACTCTTCTTCCTCCTCCATAAGACAATGAGCCAGCCAAGCAGCAAACACGAACATTGCCATGGCTTGATAATGAAAAGGGCTTTGCGAGTGTGTGCGTGTGCGTGTGTGTGTGTGTCTCCATATTGAAGATGCCAAATTGACATGCAAATTCTGACCTGGGTTGGGGGGGGGTTTCTTAAAGTCACAATACCGCACATCCGAAAAAGGTCTCGGCTACGGCATTCAAACTGCTTGGTTTCATTGATGGACAGATGAGCCAATTGGTCTGGACAAGTCAACGGTTAACTTGTTCGTTATTCAGCCAAGCAATAATGAACTCTTACTTCGGGGAGTTTGTAAATGCAAGCTACTTAGCAGGCTCCTGGTTTTGATAGAGTCCCGGGATCGGTGTATGTGTTTTGTTCTTGGATTTTGGGGTAGGGGGGAGAGTTTGACTGCCTGCATACCTTCATACATGGCTTGTTTTGTTCTAGGCCAGTGCTTCTCAACCTTGGCAGCTTTAAGGTGCGTGGACTTCAACTCCCAGAATTCCCCAGCCAGCATGGCTGGCTGGGGAATT